AAGGTCATGTACACAGTATACTGTGTGCTGTTACATAGTGTACTGTGTACTTCTACTAAGGTCATGCACACAGTATACTGTGTGCTGTTGGATGCTTGGGTAAACTGTGTGTAGTAAAAATTTCAGTAAAAATATTTTTTTTCTGCTTTAATCCATGACAGTGTTTTGCATTATTGTTATTTTTTAGAATCACAATAAATAAACTCAACAAAGTGAAAACAATGCTAATGAAGTGGGGAAAAAAACAAACAAACATTAATTTGGAGATAAAAATTAAAAAAGGGAACAACTAGGTTTTTTAATTTAATTTAATTTATTTATTTATTTATGTTGGTACTGTGCAGCTCTTTGGTTGGAGACATAAAACAAACAGGTGCCTGGGCGCAGATATGTCAAGTGTTCTCATTTTTCCTCCACAAACCACACAGTTACAATTTTTTGGCCACTTGGCTTATATGAGTTATTTCAACTTTATTTATTGTCACATTTTAACATTGTGGTTTCTTTTGAATCAGTTTCAACTCTTGCATTTCTGTTTGTTCTGTCCCAATGGGTTGTTTTATGCCTTCATGGGATACCTTTAGGTTTTGTTTTTTTTTTTTGTTTGTTTTTTGTCTAATAAGCTTGTCATCTAGTTACTTATATTTGTAACTTTTAATTTTCATCTGGATTACTTGTGATATGTGTCATTTTAGTCATCCACTATTAAAAATATGTCTATTAATATTTTGAATCAACGAGAGAGACAAACGTTCACATGAAAAAAAAAAAAATCCAATAGTCTAATGATAGTTGTGTGCTTTGATTATATGTTACAATGGCCTGCTATACAGTTCACAGTATTTCCTGGTTGACGAGCAGGGCGGGGTGAGCATAGATCCCTCATTGGCTGCTGCGGCGCAGGAATTTCTGCTGCCATCTTGGAGCGGTCGTCCTTATTTGGTTAAAGCAGCAGTTCTCAGCTTATTTCTGTTCAAATCGACGAACTGTTGACGTCAGGTCTCGGGGGATAACTTTTCACATAAGATGAAAATATTATTGTTAGTATTTTGAGAATAGTACTGTACTGTATGTCCACCAGCTGATGTGATGTTCAGTGTAACACGTGTTCAGCTGCAATGAAGCTGACTGAGATCTGATGAAAGGAATATTTTGCTAAACAGCGAACTCACAATTTCAGTAGCTTTGGTTCATTATCAAGAGATATGTATCATAATTGGAGTTTTGTTTAAGTTCTAGGAAATAAAAAAAATAAAAAATAGGGAGAATGTAGGAAATAGAAAATAAGATTGACCTCCTTTGTACTATGTTTTTGTGTAGATACATATCTCCTGTTTTCATTGTGAAGGTTTCCCAAAGAAAAAGATGTGAGGAAGAGGAGGAAGTATCTTTGAGGAGGATTCATCTGAGCAGGATTTTAAACTGGAGGATTTTGATCAAACTGATCAGACTGTCCGACTGAGAGATGGTGTGGTACCATCGGTTCACCTTCAAAGAGTAGGAGCATCATTATAAGTTCATT